TTTTAACCCTCAAGGCAGTGCTCTACTACTAGAGTCACAGCTCCACTTCCAGCTTTTTTTCGTGGTTTATTGGAGATAAGAGTTTCATGGACTTGCCTGCCCAAGGTAGCTTTGAACCATGATGCTCAGACCTCAGTCTCCTGAATAGCTAGGATTATAGGCATGAGCCACCAGTACCTGGCTGACAAGTCACTTTTCATCACCGTACCTCAGTTTCCCATCTGAACAGCAGGAAGGCTAACTATGACACCTCCCTCAGAGGGCTGTTAAAAGGACTAAAACATACAAAGCCCATAAGTGCCTGGCGCAACTTTAGCACATAGTAAGTGGCAGGAATTATTATAAGGAGTATTAAATGAATAAGAACACTGAAACTAGAACTGTCCCTGTCTCAAAAAGTCTATTCCAAAGGGCTCCCATATAGAACATCCCCTCTGTCTTTTGGGCCACAAAAGACCCTATGAGGGAGGACCCCTAAGGTCTCTAGAGTAGGAGGTCAGCAGACTACTTTCTGCAAAGACCAAATAAGGTCAGCAAATAGAAGTTTTGCCACAAGGTCTCAAATACAACCATTCAACTCTTCCCATTCAATTACAGAGAGACAATTTGTGGGGGGGGGGGGGGTCCAGTCAGGGGGCCTGCACTCTGGGCCTGGGCGCTGTCCCTCAGCTCTTCAGCTCAAGGCTAGCGCTCTACCACTTGAGCCACAGCGCCACTTCCGGCTTTTTTTTCTTTTTGCTTATGTGGTGCTGAGGAATTGAACCCGGGCCCTCTGGCATGCAAGGCAAGCGCTCTACCACTGAGCCACCTTCCCAGCCCCAGAGAGACAATTTGTGGATGAACAGGTATGGCTGTTCTCATGAAAGTTTATTTATAGAGAGAGGTTATAGCCAACCTACAATACAAGTTCACACTGGGCTGCAGAAGGAGCTGACAGACTTAGAGGTATGACCACAGCTTCCTGCTAAACCTCTTGGGTGGGGAACTCTTGTTCCCCAGACTCTGTCTGGGGGCTTAACAACTGGCAAGATAAAGAGGTTTTAAAGAGGAGGAGCTCCAGGCAGGATCCCAAGCATAGCAAGGCCAGGGTAACGGCAATCACCAGCTACAGCTGCCTGGGTAGTAAAAACAGGAAGCAGTAGAACAGGCCATATCTACGAAATGGAAGTTTAGCAACTGAAAAAAGGACTGAAAGTGCAGATGTGGAGGTGGGTGGAGGCAGCTGGGCCCCTCAGTGTGTGGTTCCCAGGACTCCTCATGGTCACAGGTGATCCAAGGAACCTAGGACCATGGTGTGCCCTTCCCTGGCATGAGCTAACTTGTCTTCCTGGACCACTCAATCAACATACTCATCTTACATAAGATCACTGACACTAGCCCAGAGAAATAAGAAAAGATAGCTGGGCATGCTGGTATGTATCTGTAATCCTAACTACTTGAGAGACAAGTAAAAGATCATAGTTCAAGGCCAGCCCAGGGTAAAGGTATTGAGACTGTCTCAAAATCAAAATGAAAGCAGAAGAGTTTGGGTATAGCTCAGATGATAGAGCACTTTCCTTGTAGCCTGGAGACCCTGGGTTCAATTTTAGTCCTACAATCAAAATAAACAGAGAACAAAAGGTGTGAAATTCATGTCTGGAGTTCAAGTTTAGCTGGCAGCCTTTCTGGCCATGGATCACATGAAAAATAAAAATAACTGATAATAATCCTGAATTTGCTACTGCAAGCACTTGTGAGCAGTCTGTAGGTACACATATGTGTTCTGATTCCCAAGATGCTGCCAGGCATCCATGATCCTTTCCTCTCCTTTTTGAATGAGGAAAACAGTGGGAGAACTCAAGGACCTGGTCACAGCAGGAGTTGCTCCCAGGGGGTGGATCCAGATCCACCTACCTTTGGCTCTGCCAAGCCGAAAGAGATAAGGGAGGCATGGCTTCCAGGTTGGGATCATTCCACACCTTCCTTACTTTTTAGAAGACAGGACCCTTGGGCACTGTCACCTCAGTGCTGCCTAACACTGAGTATAGAATGGAAAAAGAGGCACAAAGGACACAGGCCTCTCCAAGACCTAGGCTACCTGTTTGCTTACAGCTACTTCAGCCACCTCTGCCTCCCTGGAGTGGCCTCACTGAGATATGCTCCAAATTCTGGGAAGGAATGCTTAACTTGAGAACTTAAGCACAAAGGCTTTTTTTCTTTTTTTAAATCGGTCGTGGGGCTTGAACTCTGGGCCTGGGCGCTGTCCCTGAGCTCTTCAGCTCAAGGCTAGTACTCTACCACCTGAGCCACAGTGCCACTTCCGGCTTTTTCTGCTTATGTGGTGCTGAGGAATCGAACCCAGGGCGTCATGCATACAAGGCAAGCACTCTACCACTGAGCCACCTTCCCAGCCACTAGCACAAAGGCTTTCAACATCACAAAAGGGGCATAGCGCTGATGGGACAGAGCTACTGGGTTGGGTGGGGATGCCTCTAGATGGAAATGCTAACCTTGTGTTTCAATCAGTCCACTCTGCGGAAGGCCCCAGTAGTACAACATCCACTCACTGAAAGACACCCCCACATAAGGACACTAGAGCAAATGGTAAAGAAAACCACACAATCTTTGCCGTCTCCCAGACCTACCACCTGGCTCATGTTCTTCAGAGTCTGCATTCATTGTTTCCTAAGCTTATCTGGCTGTGAATCTTCTCCTGCAGATCCTGTGACCTAGAATCCCTCAGCCTCTCATTTCCCAGTCTCCACCCAGGCCACAGCAGAAGTATGACTTTTCCAGCTGCAGGCTATAGGCTCAGTTAAGGTTCTCTCCACCCACCCTCTCACAGCAGGCAACTTCCTGAGAAAAGGAAAGAGGATCATAACCATAGCATGGTAGGAGAAGACAGGCTACAAGCAGCGTTCACTTTAGGATATTTTGTTGTTTTAAAGAAAAAATATAGTCATACTTTTCAACATACATGTGAAAATGGAATGGGGTAAGTTGAGGTTGGGAAAGATGGGGAGAACAATGGAAGCAGGTGACAATGCTAAGAGGCATTGTGTCATAAACTGACACAATGAATTGAAACCCCTTTGTACAACAGCTTGAAGATAATTAAAAAAGAAAAAAAATAATAAAATTCAAATATTACATGATCAAAAAGACAGAAATAATTACATCTGTGTATCCACACAGACAAACAGAAAAGATAGACATCAACCAGAGGCTGAGATGACTGGATGGGAGAATGTTGAAATGTTGATCAAAGGATACATAATGACAATTAGATTAGAGGACTAGATTTCAAAAATTCTATTGTGCAGAAATAGACAATAGTCTATGATGATACACTGTAAGACTAAAAATTATAAATAATGGATATTAAAAAAAGATAAGACATCATAGATGTCAAAACATTAATGATTATCCACAACAGTTGATCAACAAGTCACTGTGAGAGGCTAAGAGGTGAAGGTTACTAACAGCTAATGGTTTCATCTGTCATGTGTACACAACAGAGTCTCAATAAAAGCACAGGAACATTGGTTCTGGAGCGCTTCTGGGTTGCAAGCCGCATGGAAGGTGGCATAGCCAAAGACAGCATGGAGGCAAGGCAGTAGGTTCCTTCCCCCATGCCTTGCCCGTGCGTCTCTTCTATACAGCAATTCCTGAGCTCTAGCATTTTATGAGAAGCCAGAACCTAAGAAGCAAATTCTTTTCCTGAGTGTGTGAGCTGCTCTAGCAAATTACTAGAAGGGTTTGTGGGAGCATCTGATTTGCAGCCAAGTCAGACAGAACTTGAGGGTAAGCTGGGGACCTGCTTTTTGAAACTGGGACAGCCTTGTGGAACTGTGGTACTGTGCCTGTGGGACCTGTGCTTTTGCTGGTTAGTCTCAGGACCCCCCTGATGGGACTAGAGAATATCACTGGTGGTGGGTGGGGAAAACCCATTTTTGTTCACTGGTATGGTCTATGTTAACAATATAGAGTAGAAAACAGTTGTTGGTTTGTTTTTCTGACTACACAAATATGTGTAAGAATCAATTTATCATCTGCTCAAAAATAGGTCAAATGAACACAATAAAGTGACATTAAAAAAAAAAACAAATTATACTAAAATTGAGGCACAAGATTAGAAGACCTCCAGGCAGTCAACGAAAAGGAAGCCACGTGATCCTGACCCTGGGCTATGCCACCCTGAGGGAGAAATTATCTGCCTGGCCCAACCACCAACCATGGTGGGTTCTCTTCCCACCATTCTCTCCCTGCCCATGGAGATGGGCTGCTCTAGGCACACAAGGGTCCTTTCTTCCACTGACATCCTCCAGCCTGAGCCCAGAGTCTGCAGCAGAGGATTATAATGATACAGAGGAAAGACTGAGGAGGCCCCATATCTCTGCTGGAGACAGCCAGGAATGTCCCAGCCATACCTGGATGAGGACATGGCTAACTGGATGGGCTGAATGCTTGGTGCTCTCCTGATTCTCCCCCACCACCACTATCCAACTTACACCACAAATCACCACTGTTGGCCTGATGCCTCACACCAGCCATACCTAAGGTATGGAGCCTAAACACAATGCACAGGCAAACTTCCTGCTCATTCATCTACTGTAGCACCTCAAAAATGATGCCAGGCTTTATTGTCACCATCCTTTCCCTCACACCTAACTGTCCTTTCTCAAGCTGGACCAAAAAGGAATCAGCATTCTTACTTGAGTTTCGGGGAACCCAAGTCTCAGAGAAGTGAAATAGTGGCAGTTGCCACCAGCAGGCAGCACAAGCTGGCCAGCTCTCCAGCTCCTGCACACCCTTTTGCAGAGAGTCACTCCTGTGTCTTTGGATGTGGCTTCTCCCACAAGTGTCCAGGTTTTATTGTTTCAGCAGCAACTAGAGGAATTTGGCCCTCTGCTACTGACAAGATGTGACACAAGCCAGCCCTAAACGATCCTCTGGGAGCATGAGAATATACCCAGCCAAGAAAGGAATGTCCAGGTCCTGCTCAGCCGCTGGACACCTACCCTTTCTTCAGGTTCTTCACAAACGCACTCTGGAGGGCAGCTTCCAGGAAGTAGGAGAGCTCATAGTCAACAGGGGGAGAGCTTTTCAGGTGCCTTGATGTGCTGTTGTTTGTGGTCTGGGAAGGGAACAGAGAGGAGTCATTGTCCCAGAGTTGGGAGGGAGAGGGTCCTGGAGCGTGAGTCAATGGCCCCACCTCTACTCCACAAGCATGCTGTTCAAGGCTGAAAAAACTCAACCTAGCTCTCGTGTGTGTGTGTGTGTGTGTGTGTGTGTGTGTGTGTGTGTGTGTGTGTGTGTGTGTCTGTCTGTGTGTGTGTGTGTGTGTGTGTGTGTGTGTGTGTGAACTCAGGCCTGAGCACTGTTCTTGAGCTTTTTTGCTCAAGGCTTGTGTACTACCATTTGAGCCACAACTTCACTTTTGGCTTTTTGGTGGTTACCAGGAGATAAGAGTCTCATGGACATCCTGACCAAGCTGGCTTCAAACTATGATCTTTGGATCTCAGGCTTCTCAGTAGTTAGGATCATAGGCATGAGCCACTGGTGTCCAGCCTCTAACTCATTTTTAATTCAAAACCTGTCTCCCCATCCAAATGCTGAATGCCCACAAGCCCACATGCCCACATGTATTCAGCATCTCAAGAGTTTTCGGTTCATTAGCTCACTTCACCTTTAGAGCAAATCCATTAGGAACGGTCGCCATTCCCATTTCATAGACAGCCATATACCTATGGTCCCCACACCCAAGAAGCAGAGGCAGGAGGATAACACATTCCAGACAGCATTAGCTACACAGTGAGCACATGCTCAACTCCCCTTAAAAGCCCAAGGGAAGCTTCCCTCACTTTCCATGAAAACTTCTTCAAGCCACAAACAATACAAATTTAAATAACTCCTAAAATATTGCTATTTAGCAGTGACCTGAATGGCCCTGGTGAGGATGAAGGCCAACCAAGTCTCCAGGTGTCCTCTGCCAGGGAACAGGCATTTGAGTCCTGTATTTAGTCATTTCTTCCTGACATTCAGTCAAGCAGAGGACACCTAGGTAGTGGCTCTCCCAAGGAGAGGGGGTAGATCTGTCTTCTGAGATAGCTGTCCTCCTTTGGTAGTATCCAGAGGGGGCTGTGCACCACCAGTACCCTGTCATAGAAGCAGGGATGCTGCTAACTACCTATACTACACAGGGCAGTTCCCATTGCTAAGAACAATTCAGACTCAATGACTCAATTGTTAGTAGTGCTGAGGTTGAGGAGGCTCTGCTTTATGGGAAAAGTCTGGCTTGAGTGAACAGCTTCAGAAAGGCCCATCACCAAAACAGGTATTGGGCTAATTCTGGCATTTGTTACTTAGTGGAGGCACAGGGATCTCCTTGACTCTGCACCTCTCAGCTCACATCCAACTCTTCTGTCAGGGCACCAATCATGATCTTCTCTGCTAGAGACCTTCATCTAGTATGTCCAGGCATTCCTGCCAGGACTGCTTTTTAACTGTATGAACTGGGGAAGCTATGTAACTCCTCTCCAAGCTCAACTTAACTCACCTATAAAATGGGAACAGCAGTCCCACTTACTTCATGTACATAGTGTGAAGTTACATTACAGAATCTATATGAAGTCCTCAAAGGAGTGCTAGTCCCTCATGTAGGTTTTCCATACATGTTAACAAGGTCTCTGCTGGACCAACTCATCTGTCTTCCCTTCAGGAAACTAGAGCATCTCATCAATGAGAGCTAGGGTACTTGGCATGCTACAGGCAGGTGAAACTGGGGACTGAGAGGCCTGAGAACTGCCAGAGGTCTTCTAGCTGGCTCTTTGCCTGTTTCTGAAAGGCTTGGAGAATGGGACTCAAGACCCACCTCTCCTATGGGCCTGGCAAGGCACTCTCGGGACATCTGGGAGCAGGGAAGGATGCCTCACTGTGAGAACCAGCCTTGCTCCAGCTCTTCCACAGGAGAGGGGCAGGGAAATGATGGGACCCCTCTAAACCTAACCCACTGAGCAGGGACATGTCCAGCTCCTCCTTCCCAGGTTAACAGTGCAAACAAGGCCGTTACACTTGGTTCTACAAATTCAGTTTACCAGAGTCCCTGACCCCTCACACATGACAAGGAACATTTCTTTATTAAGACTGCTTTGTGGTGGCAGAATTGCTTCTGACAGAATCAGCGTACTGCAATGAATTTTCTAACCAACGAAGTAGTGTCTTGGGACAGGGAGGTGACCTTCAAATTTGCACAGGGGAATCTCTGCACAGAGTTTGGGCTACAGATACTCCTGCTCAACACACAGCAGCCACTGCATGCTGTGCCACCCCAGCTCACCTTCTCCAGTTCCTGCAGGAACACCTGAGCCACCCAGGAGGCCCTCTCGAAGCAGGCGACCACTTCCTCCTCCCGCTCAGTTAGGCGGTAGCGGGAGGCAATGGAGTTGGGCAGGCGTTCCAGGGAAAGGCCTGTGGGAGGAAGAGAGCACCTCAGACCTGTCCTGATTGGGGCCCTGACTCCAGACCCTAACCATGGGCCCAGGAGGCAGGGGTGAAGGGAAGGGAAGGGAGAGGGGAGTGTGTCCAATAGGACATTATGTTCTGGAGCAGCAGGCAGGAGGCAGAGGTCTGTGGAGCAGAAGGAAAAGCTAATGCGATTGGTGGTATTAGCAGCAGCTGGGAGCAAGCAATGGGTCCAGAGAAGGCACCCAGGTCCTATGTGGGGACCCAACCCCCCAGGAAGCCCTTCTTGCCACTCCTGGTTATTATAAGGAAGTATCCAGTTTCCAGGTGCTTCTACATTGTACCATGGCTAGCCCAATTCTTCCTCCCCAACATCTAGAAGCTGGAGGGGGGGTGGGGGGAGGCAAAGAAGTCTTTCTGCCATAGCAGCGGCTTGGGTTCCACAGAATCCTATGTACTCTCCTCCTGCAAACAAACTGTCGGTCTCAGGAGCAAGTGACCTGTGTTCTATCTGCTCGTGGTAGTTGACTCCTGCTGTTTTTGCCTCCCTGACATCCTCAGCCCACCTGGTAACACCACCTGCTTTCCCCTCACCATCTCTCCTGCAGCCTCTGCTGGCCACAGGAACAGGGTGACTGGGAAAAGGTGAGCACCTGGCCCTATCTAGGCCAGTAAGAACCAGTTTTGGAATTGCTACTCTCTTTACTGGGGGTACAGAGCTGGGGCTAGAGGTAAGCCTGGAAATTCAAGAGAAGATCCACTTAAAGTCATGCCTATATGATGTGAATATATACGCCTAAAAATGGTTAAAAGGATAAAATGATACAATTTTATGTCATGTGAAGTTTTAAAACTCTAATGAAAAATTTTATTCATGAAAGTATAGCTCCAAGGCCAAAAAGGAAAAAAGTCAAGAAACAAAGAAGGCATTGCCAAACTTATATTAAGAAAAAAGAGAGGACCACACACAGTAGAAATGAAATATGGTGGAAAGGGACAGATTCCTAAAATATCGTTTGCATACCTAAAGGCACCTTTTCTAAGGCTCTACCCAGTATATGAGTCATAATACTCCTCCAACACACACACACACACACACACACACACACACACTTCTTTATGCCTCTCACACTACCTTACATGTAGTAGGTGCTGAGGATAACTTAGTACATGAATGGGTAAGAACACAGGCCTGAAGCTAATTCCTACCCAACATCCAGCTGAAGACTGAGCAGACATTACTAACATTCAAGTTTCCCCTCTCCTTCTCCCACTACCGCATTGCAGGCTGCCTCTTCTGAATGGGGTTAACTACACTGACTTTCTTGCCTCTAGTCTCTTTCCTCTTTAACCCATCCTCCACACTGAAGGGGAGCCTACTCTACCCTCCAGTGGTCCTTCTACTGAATGATAAGGTCCACTCCTGTCATCCGCCACTATTTCCCAACCTACCTGCTACATCCACATCCAACTTCCATTCCCAAGTCTTGGTTAGGGGCTGCCTTCCTGATGTGCTGAAGGTGCTTCTTCAGCCTGGAATGTGCCACCAGTAGGTCCGCCCCAGGTCACTGATCACCAAAGCCACCTTCTCTATGAAGTCTTTCCTGATGTTCTGGAAGAGTCAACTGCTAAGGACCTCCTTAGGTCTCTACTCACACACTTCTGTCTTATTTTTTTTTTGGGAGGGGGTTGGTCATGGCCTGAACTCTTGGCCTGGGCACTGTCCCTCAGCTCTTCAGCTCAAGGCTAGTACTCTACCACTTAAGCTACAGAGCCACTTCCAGCTTTTTTTTTTTTTTTTCTTTTTCTGCTTATGTAGAGCTGAGGTATCAAACCCAGGGCCTCATGCATGCAAGGCAAGCACTCTACCACTGAGCCACCTTCCCAGCCCTCGCTACTCTTCTACCTATTTGTTCATACATTTCCTCAAGCAGACTGTGGGCTCCTTCAAGGTGTCAGCCGGATAGAATTCCTCTCTCTCCCACCGGGCCCAAGTACATCGAAGTACAAAGTGTTCTGCAAATACAAGGAGTCAGAATTGTTTTTCTTGGTGAGATTTCAACACATTCAGTGGTCCTGACTTCTGCCAGGTTGGGTATGTCTGGGATGTAGCTGAAAGTGGGGGTAATTGTCACCACAGAATATGAAGGCTGTTGTTCAACAGTCCTTGTCACCTAGGTCACTGAGTGCCAACACATCTCCTGCCCATGATTCATGATCAGGAAAGGTCAAAGATGAGGAGGAGGAATGGAGAAAGGAAGGAGTGGGCCGAGGCTCTCCTCTGGGGTTGGCCCAGTCCCTCTTCTTCAGACATGTGCTCGGGCCCCGAGACCAACTCCATACAGGCGTGAGAACACAATTTCAAGAGACTTGGAGCTTTAATATCATAGTCCTTGGAGAGAAGGGCTCCCATCTGGGTTCCCTCCTAACCACACCTTCAGGTCAGGCTGCTGGTCCAATCTTCTATGGGCTGGCTCATGCTATGTGGCAGATTCAGGAAGGCTGGTCTGTGGGTTTCCCCCTTTCCTGTGCTCTTATGTTCCTTCCACTATCGGTAGGTGTTTCCCACCAGGCTTCTCCAAGAATTCTAAGCCCATCCTTGTAGAAAACACAAAGTGAAATTATCTCCTCTCTGCAGCCCTCCCAGGTGGTTATGCTTCCCTTCTTGTGACAAGTTAACTGCATTTCCTGTCCATTTTCTTTCAGTGCTGGGGATAGAACCTTACTCTCCTATATGTGTGCCTTTTTCCTATGTTGTCATCACCTGCTCTGCTCATTCCTGACTATCTTTCCAGCCCAGTGATAAGATAGCCTAGAGGCAAGTGTTTAGATAGAAAAAACATGGATGAATGCACACAACATGGACAAATTCAGGCATGTTCAAGGCAGAGCCCTGGGTTGGTCTCCTCTACATTCATAAAACAGTTCTTGAACAATCTGTATAAATATCAAATTTTGAGGTGGAGATAGGAGGATCATGATTAAAAAGTTCACACTGGTAATTCTGCTTCTTAGGAGGCTGAGATCTGGAGCATCAGACTAGGTAGAAAAGTCCTTGAGACTCCATCTACAATTAACTAACAAAATGCTATATTGGAGGCATGCCTAAAAGGGTAGAGCATCATCCCTAAACAAGAAAGCCAAGGCCACTCTTGGTAGAAATTTAACTCTATTTGAAAGTAACAAAAAGTAAAAAGGACTGGAGGCATGGTTCAAGAGGCAAAACACTTGAAGTCATGACTTCAAGTCCCAGTATTATAAATGAAAATAAAAAAATAAAAGTATGAATCTGTGGGCAGAAAAAGAGGGAGAAACTAGGGGAAAGCAAACGAATGACATTATCCCAGAGAGAAATGTATGGATTACTTGGACTGTGAAATGATAACCCCTCTGTACATCTTAATAATAACAAAATTATATTAAAAAATAGTAAAGTGATGCACAATAAAATTCCGAAGAGTTTATGTGAAAGACGTGTATATACCTTATAACAAAAATGGGTGGATTTCTCAGAAATTATATCTTGCAAAAGAAGCAAGATATTAAAAAGTACATTTTAATTAAAATGTAGCCACGCTTAGTAGTGTGTGTCTGTAATCCCAGCACTTGGGAGGTGGAACTGGAAGCAGGAGGCCTGGAACACAGATTGAGACCATGTATCAAAAAATGAAACACTGGGGATGGGAAGGTGGCTCAGTGGTCTAGTGCTGGCCTTGCATGCATGAGGCCCTAGGTTCGATTCCTCAGCACCACATAAGCAGAAAAAAAGCTGGAAGTGGTGCTGTGGCTCAAGTGGTACAATGCTAGCCTTGAGCTGAAGAGCTAATGGACAGCGTGCAGGCCCAGAGTTCAGGCCCCCCACAACCGACCAAAAAAAAAAAGAAAAGAAAAGAAACAAAATACAAATTAACAAGCAGAACAGCATCAGGCACCAGTGGTTTATGCCTGTAATCCTAGATACTCAGCAGACTGAGATCTGAGGATCTCAGTTTAAAGTCAGCCTGGGCAGAAAAATCCACAAGACTCATCTCCAATTAACCTCCAAAAAGCCAGAAGTGGAGCTGTGACTCTAGTGGTAGATCATTAGCCTTGATCAAAAAAGCACAGGGACAGGCAGTGCCCAGGCCCTGAGTTCAAACCCCACGACCAGCACCCAAAAAAATAAAAAATAAAATTAATAAAAATAAAAGACTGGGAGGATTAAGGTGTAAAATGTCCACAAAACCCCTTCTCAATTGAGATCTGTGTACAGTGAGTGATACATACTTGTTATCTTAGCATTTGTAGGAAATCTGAAATAGGCAGATCCCCTAGGTGTGCACCCAGGCAGGAAGCAAGACCCTATCTCAAAAATACTCAGAGCATAAAAGGGCTGGAGGAATGGCTCAGTGGTACAGTGCCTACCTAGCAAGGGCAAAAATTAGTGTTCTGGTTGAGACTAGATATAGATCCTCTGGCATTTATAAACTTTGACCTTGGCCCAGATTTCCTTCCTTTATCCTCAGTGGCCCAGTAGAGGCCTCCAAATCTCAAGCTCTTCTCTCTCATGGCTGAGTTACAGATTGACCCTGCTGGGGATAGGTCCAAGTGTAGATGCTGACTTTTCAAACACACCCCTCAAGCCCTGTCTACACGCCATTCGCCCTGACTCCGACAGAGGAAAGGACCACCAGGACAAGATGCAGCAGGACCTCAGGTTTTCTGCCTAACCAGCCCATGGCCTACCGCCTCTGATTGTTCCGATCCTCACCCTGCCCTGCCACCACCATAGAAGATATATCTTGCTGGGTTTGGTGTCTTTGGCCCAGGAAAGCACTGAATGAAACCCTGGTGAACCTGCAATGAACGCACTCGGCCTCCTCCAAGATTTCCCTCTGGATTCTCCAGCCAAAAACTAGTCTCTCCTCCCTTGGGGACCACAGTGTAGGGCCAGGGCAGCAGTACAAGAGTATACTCCCTTCCTCATAAGACAGAGAGCCTATGCCTAGAGGGAGGGGCCAAAATCA